GAGGTTGTACCTTCTTTAACTGGATCAGAACTCGAGTTTAGTATTTGAACAACGCAACTGATTCTGTCCAGTTAGGGAGTTACGTGCCTGGCACCACCTCCCATTTTATTTCCCATGGACGGGGAAACTTAAACACACCCTCGCAGGCCGACTAACTTAATGCAATTCTCGAGAAAGATACGAAAGAGATATCAAAGCCCGAGTTATTTGACGAGATCTGAATGAAGCGAGGTAGGGAAAATTGCCATGTGTCTTCGGACCCTCTGGCCAGAAATACTTGGAGTCTCCTGCCGAATTACCTCCTTCAAAAGATCTATCAAGGAATTCCTAAGCCTTCTCTCAAGTTGTACGTGGGAATAGATCACGTATTGAACGAAAAACTCCAGGAAACTATACTTTCCAGGCATCAGTGTTAAGACCGCTAAATTGGCATCATCTCGCGCCAATTGCAAGAACCTGTTTTCCGTCGAGATAATGTGAATAACTCCATTTCGAAACAATATATAGACCGTGACGAAAGAAAATGTGAAAAAATAATGTGAACCTACTAGATTCAAAAGACTTCGGCAGTCCATGTGTAGTCTCGATGTGTTGAAGATTCGGTTCATTACGAACAGCCCGCATTTAATTGATTTTTTCGTATTCTTCCTTAAATTCTCTAATGCAACCATGGCTCAATGGCCCGTATGAATAAAAGTGAGCTGGAGCTTGGGCTCAGCTAAATTGGAGCCACAGCCCCATATTTTATGAATAAAATGCTCGGAGCTTAAGCTCCGTGAGCTGCAGCTCCATGCCTGAGAGTTCTAGCTCCCTTTTCCATGAAAGATGGCATTTCGTATGAATAAAAGGGAGCTTTGTCTCAACCCTTGAGCAAGAGCTCGTAATATTCGGAGTCTGCCCCTTGGCAGACTCAGCTAAGAAGTCTCCTTGCTGATATATGATCCATGATGATATGTGATAACGCCAGGATGCTGTTTTCGTTTTATTCATCCGTAATGGCAAGAATAATGCCCCCTGTAAAATTAACTGTCTGAATTTTCTGATTCTGCGGCCTAAAAAACATGTAAACCTTGGTTACTTTCTATGCTCTGGATACAATTCCTACCTTGTCTAGTAAGTTCTAATTGGGTTCTACTTTAAAAATCCAACTCGTGTGCGAAGTTTTTTTCTTCGTCCACTTGGGGAATACCTGTTTCCAATAATTTCTAGAAAATTCTGGACTTACAGTTTGATGTGGAAAGGGTACTTCAAGTGCATGAGTTGTAAATGGCACACCTGGGGATTTCATAGTGTTTCATATCCTCCCGATAATACAAAACGTTGCGTGAACTTGTGGAGTATTCAGGTGAAAAACTGTACCAAGACGTACAGTTTTTGACATGAATCGTCGTAGAGCCTGACTTACCTCTGAAATCCCGCAAGTGTGTTCCAGTAAAACGGGATTCAGAGCTTTGATTCCTAAAAGCGGAAGTCCTTTCATGTAGACTGCGCTGTCAGATACTGGGAAAATGAAGAACACGATAGTTTTTTCTCTCCGTTTGGTGAAGTACTTGCTATTAAATCCTCCATGTCTTGCCTCGCACAGAGGAACCAAGTTTTCATGGTTCTGGTGGCCAATACCTCAAGTACTTGATAAGTTACTCCTAATGCGATTTCAGGCAACTCAGCTTTCCCTGATCTCTATGAGAAGAGACGAGAGTGAGGAAAGTTCAGAATTATTGGAACTTGAGCTCCAAAATTCGGAGCTCAAACTCCGAGCTCGAGCAAAACTTTATTCATTTTAAACGGAGGAAAAGCTCAGACTCAGCTCAAGCTCTGACTCCAAGCTCTGAGCAAGGGTTTAGGTTTTATTCATACGGCCCAATATTTCAAACTTTTGTCAGTGTTAGCTCAAAGCGTACAATGGATCCTTGAAATAGTATGACTTTCACGCGCGCTTCGCTTTCTCCTACGATCATCGGGGCGAGGGGATTTTCCAGCTGTTTCTGTCGACGTTTTTGTGACATGACAAAGGAATAATTTGCCTTAGGAAAAACACTCGAAAATTAAAGTTAAAAAAGGCTAATACGTTCGTGAATGCCCAGAGAGAGAAAATTAATGCGTACTCAGGCAGACATGAACATGCACAACATACATACAACACACAACACTTAACAATGTTTCCACGAATATGTGTAAAATATGGATTTAATGTTGTTGCAATGTTGAAATGAAACAGTTCAACGTTGGAAATAGGATCATGTGTCGCGTTGTGCCAATTATGTCACTTGTCAAGGATTAGGCATTACCTTCTCCTTTTTCCGAGCCTAAGCTGGCGCTAATATTGATTATAACTTGAAATTGCTCTGAGTGCAATTATACAACAGAAGGGTCCATCCAAGTAACTTCACTAACTGGATCAGAACTGAAGTTTAGTACTTGAATGATGCAAATAATTTCTTCAATACTGTCACAACATTTCAACTTTTTGTCAATGCTGACAACGTTGTTGGGCAGAATGAGTAGAACATCTGCGGCACCCAAGCCTACAATGGGTCTAGGTCATTCAGCCTGGCCTAGTCTCACATGTTGTGGTTGGATTTTTCTTCATTTCTCCCTATATGTTCCGTGAGAAAGTCAGCAAAAACCTGAATAAAACGTGTGCTAATACCGATAGCCGATATTATAATATTCCAACGGGTGATGAGAACGACGAACACTTCTCAGTTCTGAGCTTCGATGAGAAGTCAAGCCTAGAAAACAGGTACCATACCTAGACTGTATAGAGATGGCGCCAGTGCACCATAAACTCAGATTGATCACAGCCGTATCAATTGTTAACAGTTTTGCGATGTAAAAACGAATTCTAACAGGAAATTCAGCCCTTTCGAGTGATATGTCACACAGGAATCTGGGTTCAAAATTAATATGAAAGGTCATCGTGGTCAGGTCAAAGGTAATCTCAGAAAAAAAATCTAAAATGAGATGGACCATCTGCAGGAAATTAAAAAATCGAATAAGGTATCTATGGCGGAAATCGGTTCAGAAACCTAGGAGTTCACAGACAAAATCCGGTCATACAGACATGTGCCCGCCGTTATGTATATGTCGTAGGGTTTTCTGGAATTCAGGGGGATTTGGAATCTCCCTAGGGACAGGATTCTACTAAACCCACGGGTTTAGCAGAATCCTCTCAAAGTCGTGTCAATGTCACTACACCCTAGAGAGATTCCATATATCCCTGGCTAGAAAATTACGCTTCCCACGACTTGTCCCGCCGAGGGCGCTTCTCCTTTCGTTTGCGTTTACGGGGTATTTAAGTCTGAAGAATACCGTGCTATAGTCTGTTCCCGACCAAAATTCTCGGATATGGAATCTCCCTCACACTTTTATTGTAGGTAGCCAGAAAGTGACCAACTGGAATCGACATGAGTGCCACCCTTTTGGGAAAGAATGCACAGGGTTGTCAGATTCTGCTGAAATCCTCCCATGGCCGCCACAACATCCGCAGGACACTCACACAAAGAAAATGCATAAAAATCCATATCACGTATTGACAACCCTATTAGTATAACCCTTCCCATAATGGGCGAGGGAAAAACCCTAAAATGTATTGCTCAAAACCTCATCCGTCAATTTTATTAGCCGTCTTTATTTGGAGGTATTCTAAAACTTTGGTCAGGAATAAACTAATTGGCACCGTGAGAATCAGTGTGAATGCAGCGCCTGATTCTGCCTGCCACTAACGAAGAAAGAGAAGCTTGGAAGACAGTGGTTGCGTCAACGAAGGCGAAGGCTTTGAGGGCAGAAATAAGCTACGTCAGTGAGGGGGTGCAGAATCCATCTGCAAGTGCAACAAGTCTTGTCGCACCAACAGAGGCAGTGCAAAAAAAATCGGCATAATATGCTCATGCAAGTGTCACGGGGGAAAGCCGTGCAACCTCCAAAAATAAGACAAGAATATTGTTAATTGACTCCGCTTCGAATCTTGCTACATTTGTTTTTTTTCTTTCTATACATGGACTGAAGTGAAATTCCATTTGCCCCGGGTGTCTTTATAATTCTCTTTCTCCCTAGGAGTTAACAACGTGATGGAGGCATGGGCAGCTAATCTGGGCGATTTGGAATCCCCCTTGGGGGAGGTGACATAATTGGAGGTTTTCGAGAGGATTCCGCTAAACCCGCGGGTTTAGTGGAATCCTGTCTCTCCCTAGGGAAATTCAGAATCCCCCTGAATTCCACAAAACTCTAAGGCATATATAGATAGTATGGATATGGATGGCCATAGCATTATTACTAGCAGTGAATGCACGAAACAAGTTAGTTCCGAAGTTACGGCTTGGTTTCTGGGTGTACAGGTCGTTGTCTGTGTCTGACATGTCCTGGTCTTTATTGAATCCGATGTACACATTTATTAGCCTTTCATGGGCTGCATGGACAGTTGGTTTGCTTTGGGAAAAAAATTGCATGATTCCAAATGGGAAAAGTTGTCGATGAACATGAATGAGCTTCCCATTATATTACCTACTGAGCTGAGAGACTAGCTTTCCTCCGACTATTCAATTACTTCACCATCTTCGAAACGAATCTGGAAATGAGACTCATTCTAGCCATCAATACGCTCTCTCTTTTGGCCTCGAATAATGTGGGAAAGTACGGCATAACTGTTAACTTTCTTTAAGAACTTCGGAAACGCGAGAGACGAGACTGGTTCCTGCTTGGTAGAAATCCCTATTTCGAAGATAGTGCAAGGATGTGGCATGATTTAGCATATTGACTTTGACATTGTCTTGCTCTGTCTGAGCATGAACTGCTTCATGAAGCGGAACTCATTCTCAACCTAGTGTTAAACAAGTCCATAAGGATTCGGCCAAAAATATAGGCAATAAAACCGGAATTGAAATGGAAACAAGGGCGAGCGTATTTCTTACTGAAATTGGAAGAAATGTGGCCGAATTTGATTGGAATTACTTCGAATATCATCGGGGAAACCAATGGGGAAAATATGGTATTACAAGAACATGGGTTCGTTTCAGGGACGTGGCATAGTGCTGGAGGTGCTCACCATCATTTTGTCTTCCCTCTCCATAATCGGACTCGTACTCGCCTTGATCATTTTTAAAATTAACGAGTAAGTTCTTGCATTGTTTTAATGACATTATCTTGGTTGTCTATACTGAAGGTTTAATCTTCTCCAGAAATGGAAATTCAAAATCGGTGAAGCTGAACAAGCAGTTATGTATTTGCCTCTTGTTGGGCCACATTTTCCTCCTCCTTCTCATTGACCGGCAAATCGTCAATCAGTCTCAGGTAGGAATATCACCACATTACATAGTCGCATCAAATTAATTTCCTTTTGGTATCCATTTTTATCATTTCATGAGTCATTTGATAAGACTTGCTTGTATCATGAGCACGTACAGATATTTCCAGATTGTTTTGTAACTTTCCTGGCTATAATGATACTGAAATTTGACTGAAGGCTTTTGCACCAAATCTAAGTATGAATGTTAACTTTTCCATCCATTATCAATTGCAAGGAAACACGGTTGGTATGGAAAACTGTTTGAAACTTTAAAACCTTTAACCTATATTTCATTATGCACGTCAACATATATTTCCGATTCAAAACAATATCAAACATTTGTCATTCATACGAATGATGAATGAATTCATTAGAAAACTCCTCCCTTATGAAAGTATCATTGTAGCGTAATTACTACAACTGACTCAATTTGAAAATGGAATTCATAGATTTGTATTTCCATACCCGAACTCCTCTCATAATGCAGATAGGTTGTGCCATCTCGGGGATGTTTCTCCACTTCATATTCCTATGTGCCTTCATGTGGATGGCCTTGGAGGGTTTTTTCATCTATCATCAACTTGTCCTGGTATTTCCAACCGGTTCCAATCTCTCCACACGGACGTACTTCATCATCGGTTACGGAGTTCCTTCCGGGATCGTCGGCACCACTGCTGCGGTGTCCTTCGGCACTGACACATATGGATATGGTGCTGGTGAATTGTGAGACTTGATTCCCTGCTCAAAGCTCCTCGAAATTGTCAGACACGTCGGCAGCTCTTGAAAAAAAAAATTTTCTTCAAGGCAGTGCACTGCCTACACTGGTGAATACACTGGTGGACCAAATTAAGGTAACAATCACAAAAACCTGAATAACTTTTGTATTCTGTGAGATATACAATAGCGCTCAAAAGTATTAGCAAGATTTGATTTTTCGGCGTAAACTAGCCGAAAATGGTCTAAATGAACTGGTTTTTGGACTGCATTTTAATATATAATTTTTGGTAAACATCCGTGAAACGGCGGTTTTCACACCAAGAAAAAATATTTAAAAAAAATGAGTTTATGAAACAGGCAATGGCAAGGCAAACAATTAGAAAGACCGAATCAGTACGCACTCGGGAAACCCTTGGCGTCGATCACTGCTTTGCACCGGGCCGGCATTGACTCGAACAGTTTAGTAATAGTCGACTGATCAATGCCGTTCCAAAGCTTCTCCAATTGCTCGAACTTTTCCTGCGCATTTCTGGCCTTCAGGTCTCGGCTCCGTCTCCCCAACCCCTCCCACAGGTGCTTAATTTGGTTCTAGTCGGGGGGACTGCGACGGCCAGTTGAGCACGTCGATGTTCTTGCGGTTAAGCCAGTCCCTGATCCGGCGGGCGGTGTGCTTCGGGTCGTCGTCCTGCTGGAATATCCAGTAGGATCCCATATTCGCGATGGCGTACGACAGCATAACGTCCTCCAGGATCCTATTGTACTCCTCAGCGTTCATAGTCCCGTTTATCCAATGCAAGGGGCCGACTCCTCGACAGGAAAAGGCTCCCCACACCATCACCGACCCATCGCCATGTACTGACGGTTTGACGGTTCTTCAAGGTGAAGTAAACGGTCGACTTTGAGGTCCCAACAGCATTTGCAATGTCGGAGTACGACATTCCCCTGTTGTGAAGTCGCACAATGATGTCCTTGGACGCACTGGATAGCTCGGCAACCTTTCCCATGCTGGAAATGATGGATTAGGCAGTTCCCTTTCTTAAAGTATCGTCAAACTTCAAAATTTCGCCTCGCATTATTTTATAAAATAAATAATACTAGCGGCCTTCGGCCACTAAGCTGGCTGTCTAGTATGTGGAAATTTGAATCGTCTATTGTGAGCATAACGTCTTCTTGACAATCTTCATTGCATTACCCATTCGGAACTGAACCCTTTCATTACATTTATACTCGTACATATACTAGCCAAGGTAATGGAGCGCCTTCGGCGCTCCATTACTTTGGATAGTGATTAATTCATTCATTTTTTGCGAAATGGGAAACACATATTTAAAGTACGTACCCATTGAAATACGTGACATATGGGGTCGAAAGTCTAGATTTTTATCAAACTCTTTACTTCTATGATTCTATGTGCGCCTAACTTTAAATCTTTTCTCGTGTCCATTTTAGTAAGGGTGGAGAATACATTTTGAAATACTTCCCTCCAATAATCTTCGCTAAGAAGACATATTTCAAAAGTAGGATTTTTTCTGTACCTAGCCATTAAACAGGAACTTCTGAGGGAAGTTTACATTTTCTGTATCTGTTTCGTTGGATCAAAAAAATGTTCAGGAAAATGGGACTAAAAAAAAAGAGCCCTGATGGGCTTTAGCGAAAAAAATTTTTTCTTCTGAAATGGAGACTCGGGGAACTCCATGCCTCCAAGTTTCAGCCTTATACGTTTCCCCTTTTTGAATTAACGTCAGTCAGCGACGATCGTCTATATACAGGGCGTTTCATTTAAATTGTACATCTTTGAACGCTCATATCTCTGAGAGGACGCAACCGTTCTTTACGAAATTTGACCACAATATAGAGCAATCTTTGCCAAATTATTGGACAGAGTTAATACTCTCAATGCCATGGATTTTTCCGATGTTTTGGCCTGAGCCCCTGTTACCATCGCCCTGACGCATGAGGCCTACGGTGGTGAGAAAACATGTTTGGAAAAGCCGACCCACCCTAACGCTATGCCCGGAGGGGATGCACCATGAAAGATGAATACTCCCTGAGCTCAGTAATATCATGTCACTTACACGTGTGCCAAGTTTAACCTTTCCATTTTTGTCTAATTCACCATGATAATTTTTTTTTCAAAACATCGCTCCTCGGAAAAGTTCCCACAAGGGATGTATCGAGACTTAACATTTTTATTTAACTCCTTGCCTCAGTTGTCACATTCATGCAAAGTTTCAGTTTTCCATGTTCATCGGTTTAAGTAATGCAAAAAAAAATTGAAAACATCTCCCCTTGAAATTTCTGCCCCCATGGAATTTACTTCCAAAGTCTGACGTTTTCTGCAGCATCCCAATAGGTAGTAATGTACCAAGTTTCATCTTTCCACACCAGCTCAATACGCCAGGACAAAAAAAAATACTTGAAAACGTCGGCTCCTCCAAATAGGCCCCAAAATCATGGATCTAAAATTTGACATTTTTCGTGAACTCATCGTCTCGGTAGGCATATCCATGCCAAGTTTCAGCTTTCCATGTCTCTCCGTTTTACTCAAGAAAAAATAATGTTATGGAGGGGGAATGAGTAACGGGACATGGAAGGCAAAAAAAAAGCCAAGGAAAGGCCGGAAATTGAACGCGGATCTTCGGACTGCCAGTCAGACATGCTACTACTACACCACCTAACCCAGCACAATCAGTTGACTCTCTCAATGCCATCCTCATCTGTCACAAAAAATATTTGAGAAAAAAGTTGCCCCCCAAAATTTTTACCCCCAGAGCATGTACCTCCAAAGTCGGATTTTTTCTGAACTCTGCATCTCAAAAGGTACATCTATACCAAGTTTCAGATTTGTAACCCTTCTGGAACATGGTTAGAATTAGCGTCAGTCACCATAGTCTATATGTATTAGATAGCTTACAGTACACAGGGAGATTCTGCTCCCAAACACTACCATCATGATATTCGAGCTGACTGCCACAATTGCCATTGTGAACGCCTCGGTTTAGCACGTTTTCATGAGACTCAAGACGACATTGCTGATTTCGTCTTTTCAACACTCTTGCATCACCGATTAGCTCATTGGCTATTAGCGTTAGCGTATGGTACAGACACCAATGATTCAGAAACAGTACGGACCGTTTCCAAAAAATTGTTCAACGGCACAGAGGGAAGTTAGTGCATGTGCGGCACAATGCTAAATACTAATTCCTGAAAATGCCAACCTTGCATCAGGCTGCTTAGCAGGGTGCACAGGTCTCCTATTCCGAAGCTCAGCCTTCGCTGCCTCTTGCTGTTCAGCGGTCTGAGTCGCCCTAAGCTCCCTATGTACATGTGCTTCCTGTTTATCACCGATTGTAGTCATTACGCCGAGCACCGATTTAGACACTTCGTACCGCAACTGCAGTGGCAAACGTTTCTTCCGCGCCAGCACCAACCGTTTTTTACAAGCAATAACTGCCTCATCGCCTTCCTGTGGGAACTCCTCCAACATTTCTTCTTCGCGTTCAACTTCACCTTGCTAAAATCCACCACAATTTTGATTGGAGGTGCACCTTGTTTGCGCGACATATGAAGAGAGACTTTTTAATTATTATTTTGATTTCATCAATCATTGTAACTCAAATAAATCGGCCATCACATACAACTGAAATAGAAAACTATCGCATGGATGCGATGGCGCGAACCGCCACGTTTGACGTAACGGAGAAATAATAAATACAGAAAATATATTTCAGCAAAGAATATATTCAATTGAATAACTTGCAGTCGATCAGAGAAAACGTGACACACATTCAGTACGTAGCACCCTTTGCTTGACACAGGTAAGTATTAAGTCTATGGCTCAGACTGATATAGCCCGATGGACCTGGCGCTTTGAGTGGTGGACGACATAGCATATGACCATCATTTTAATGATCTAGACTCGTAGGCCTCGCGCGTTGCGTTTATAGCCACCATCACAACTTCTTCCCAACGCATTCAATACTCTTACTATCACCGATTACCTCATGGGTTATTAGCAATAGTTTATGGTACAGGTACCACTGATTCTGAAATAGTACAGGTCATTTCCAAGAACTTGTTCGACTTTAGCACAGAGGGAGTTTAGCGCATGTGCAGCAGAATACTAACGAATAATTCCTGAAAATGCCTCGCCTCCACATCAGCACCAGTAAACAATGGTGTGAGCGTTAAGTGTGAGTTGCAGCAGAAGCACTTTTCCGTTGTGGCAGCAATGTGAAACAAATGTTCCCTCCCTACTGCAAAATTTACAGCCTGACAAAATGTCCCGAGTTCCATGGTGTAATGGTAGCACACCAGACTGGCAAGCAAGAGGTCCGGGTTCAATTCCCGGCCGCCCACCGGCTTTCGACACCTGATTGCTGCGTTCCTTGCATCAAGTTGCCAAGCATGCTGCATGGCTCTCCTATTCCTGAGCTCAGCATTCGCTGCCTCTTGCTGTTCAGCCTTACGTTCCCTACGTGCAACTGGGTATTGTTCATTAGTCATTCTAGCCTTTATGGCTAGCACCTCCTAAAGCACCGATTTAGGCTCTTCGCACCGCAACTACAGTGGCAAACGTAGTTTCCGCGCCAGCACCAATCGCTTTTTATGTGCAGCGACTGCCTTATCGCCGTCCCGTGGGACTTCTTTTAATATTTGTTTTCACGTTCAACCTCAGATCGCAAAAATCGCCACCATTTTGATGGGAAGAGCGGCCCGTTTGCGCGACGTATGAAACAGAGAACTTACGTTAATATTTTGATTTAATCAATCGTGAGAACTCAAATAAATCGGCCATGACATGAAATGCAAACAGAAAACTATTGCATGGAAGCGATGTCCCGAATCGCCACGCCTGGCCTAACGGAAAAAAGTGGCATGCATTCAGTTATTACCACCCTTTGATTAACACAACAAAGTATGAAACCTATGGCTCAGACTGATACAACTCGATGGACCTGGCGCTAAAAGCGTTGGATGGCCAAGCTTATGGCTTAGAATGACATAGCCTGAAGGACCTGGAGCTTTGAGAGGTGGATGGCCTAGCCTTTGGCCTTAAGTGACATAGTCTTGTAGGCCTCGCGCGCTGGGGTGACAAACACCACCACAACTCTCGGGCTCTTCGTATTACAGTATAAGATGGCCTGGCGCTTTAGGCCGTGGATGGGCCTATGATCCAGAATGGGATTGTATTGTGGGCCTGCGCGTTTGGGGTGACAGCCACGATTACTACCACCACAACCACAACTTTTGGCCTCTTCGAATGAAAGTATTAGCTGGCTTGGAAAGGCATAGCTTAGTAGGGACTGGTGCTTTAGGCCGCGGATGGCCTGGCAAATGACCCAGAATGGAATAGCATCGTAGGCTCGCGCGTTGGGTCTGACAGTCCACTACAACTTTTGACCTCTTCAAATTAAAGTATTAGATTCTCTTTTCCTTCCTTAGCAAAAGCTTCTACATTCGTTTATTTTTCCCCGTTCACCCTCTAGGCTGATGGCCGAAGAAAAGCAGATAAAAAAGACTTCCTAAGAAACTATTTTCCCCATCACGTTCATAGCAAAAACCAGGTCGACCAGATCCTTGACCCTTATTGGCTTTTCGAGAGTAATTAACAACAAACGCTGTAACCTTTTTTTCCGTGCCATGATCGCCTTGCGGAATTAAAAATTACTTGATGCATTAATAATACATAAGCTATGATGGCTTAGTTACTCTGGAAGCTTCTCCATATTTCTTATCTTTTAATTTCATTCAATAAATTCAGGCAATTTCGTCATGTTTCCCGTTCATTTTTTAAAGCGGTGTTTTATAGTATAAACTTCACACATTTTCCAGAGCTGCGAATAAACCAACATTCGCCAATAGCAGGCAATATGTGAACTATGTGAGAAGCCTGCCAAGAAATACTCATGTTTAAGGCGTTGCTCTTCGATTAAAAATGGAATGAAGCGCTTCTACTAGCGAGAGTTGCTGCTCAAGTACCCAAATACGGGAACGAATGTACTAATACTGTGCCAGTTAAGTTTCGATACGAATTTAAGAACAGGCGTAATTCCTGAATGCTGAACGGTGTTGATGTACAGTATGTTACCTGCGAAGCATCATCAAGTCCTTCATGAGAAAGAAGAAATTCACAAGGAATAGGAAAAATCATTGGCTCCCTCTGATTTCACTACTCTAATTACAATGATTAACTTTATAGGGTGAGCATTACATTAAAATTCTTACAGAGTTGGGATGACCCGGAAGTTGAAGTGATTCGCCATGGCCTTGAGGGCTTCTCCTTCGAAGCCGGACCAGTCCTCCATCGCCTCATCAGGGGTCCAGTCGTAGAAGAACTGGACTGGTGTCGTCGAAACTTTGAATACTTTCCCGTGGAAATCCTGGAGAAGATCTGGGAAGGGATTCTTGGAAACATCCTTGGATCCCGACCTCCACGTCTGGATGTACTGCATCCCTGGCTGAGAGTCGTTGCAAAAGAGACAGACGGCGTAGAATGCATATGCATCTGGACGGATTCTCCTCGCCACCGTGACTGGGATCATGAGACCGGCTGCCTCCTCGATCCATTTGACTCCTTGGCGAGCTTCGAGCACGAAGAGGGCCTTGCTCGTCCACCACATTTGGGGCCGGATGCGATAAAGAGTCCGGAGGGCCTTCTTGGCCCATTCCGTCGATCCCAAGACGATGTAGAAGTCGCTTCTGGTGCTCGCGAACTTGATGTTATCCATTCCTTCGATGGATCTGATGATCGTTCGGGACAGGTCGTCACGCCCCGATTCCACGCGTGGATCTTCTCTTTCGCTGATGATGAATAACTGTTGATACGATTCCAGAGACGAGTGGAGGACATAATGAAGGAACTGCGAAAGGACAACATTCTCTTCGATCTCCCTACCGGTTCCCAATTCTAGCTTCGCTCCAACTGTGCACAAGGTAGTCAAAAAGAGCGTAGAAGGGAAAAGGATCATGTTGGCTCTTCGGAGGTCTCCAGCGTCACTGCATACGAATGCCTACATTGCCACTTTAATATATTACCTTTCTCCGATATGTGTACGTAGGAGAAACCAGCCATGCGATTCGTGTATTCCAAGGTTTACATAGGGAATCGCGCCTTCAGACACGAAATCCAGTCTTTAATGAGGCCTGAGATTCCCTGTGTCTCATGGTCCACTAACTTCGTATTAATTTTCATGTGAGCCTGGAGATATGGAGTGTTCTTTGAACATTGGGTGCTCTTACGGATGATTGAACGTCTGAGCGGATGAATGAAAAATGAGCATCGGAAAAGGTCGGCATTGGTATTAAGGTGCGTCGTGAATCCGAGATGATGAATGTAATCGCGTAAACAGTTGGCCAAGGTTAAATATTACTTTGGTAACGCAAGTATTAGGAAGTAAGTACTAGAGTAGTAGTGATGTCCACATGCAACAGGTGTAGTTGCGTCTCGTCATGCCTATTGTCATACCTAGTATCTAATATAGTAGTAATTACTTTGAAAATGGGCGAAATTGGAGATTGCCCTATTTTAGTGCACCTGACATATAAGACTCCCTGTAGAACACATTTTCTTCATATTTAACCTGTGCACCCCATCATTTGCCTTTACGTGTAAAATAGCAGGGCTTTAATGTATCACATAAAGGCACGTTTTGAAAAGTAGGCCGAAAACGACCTAAATTGATACTTCTTTTATGACAAACACTACTTACACTCCTGTAATGCATCTCTTTTCCTATTCTAATCTGCCGTGCAGAGAAGCTGTAAAAACCAAGCTGCATGCTGGAGGTCCTTACTTTAACTCCAATAAAAATATAAGAAAGAGGCTGATTCATTCATATCAAGAGATTCCAAATGTGCTGAGTGAAACAGATCAGCTGTCAGAACGTCAAAGAAGAAGGGAAAAATGAAATCATCTAGCCAAGAAAAAAATGTTTTAAATCAGTCTTCCTACAGGTGTCCTTCCTTGAATGTTGAGGCCGATGCAAAGCTTCTGAGTCTC